TATATATATATATATATATATATATATATATACACACAAACCAAAGTAAAGGAACTAAAATTTAATCAACCTGCTATAAGATAGCCAGAACATAAATATTGTAAAGAGGCAGATATAAGAGATGAACTATATAAGAAATCTGATTGTCTAAATATACACTAGTATTATTTGATACATAATAAATGCTTCCAAGGAAAAGAATTCTTGAAAGAGTTGTCAGCACAAATTATTATAAGGGAAATTATTTAATTATGAATAAAGATTATATTAAGGTTTATAAAAACATATCTGACTGAAAAGGCAGTGATGTTATAAATGCAGTTAAAATTAGCCCATGTTTGAAATACAACAAAAATCTTCATCTTCAGGCTGGTACCTTCGGCTTCCTGCTTGTGTGAGCAAAGTGTGATCGGTGAATATTAGTTTAACTATTTTTGGACACCAAGTATCTGTAGGCTATCAAGTTCTCTTCTAGTAACTCCTCTTTTACCTTTTTGCTACATCATCACAGACCTTGATCCTTGAACAATTGATATTGAACTCAAATACATTGCTTGACCATATGCACATTCATTTATTGCACATGATTGCAGTATTAAACTTGAATAGGAAGGAAAGTACATTGAAATTATGTTTGGTCCTTAATTGAAATTGGACTGCAACATAGAGGTGTGGGGAAATTGGTTTGTTATACTTTAAGGTTTCCTATTTTGCTTTCACAGGAGAATACTGGATTGACCCTAATCAGGGATGTGTAGAAGATGCAATTAAAGCATTCTGCAATATGGAAACAGGAGAAACGTGTATAGCTGCAAAACCAGCTATTATTCCACGTAAAACATGGTGGACTAGTAGGTCATCTGATCTAAAACCAATATGGTATGGACTTGATATGAACAGAGGTTCACAGGTAACAAATCTGAATTTTCTTGGTCTTTATTTCAGTTATTATTTTGGAATAAACATAGGCAGTTTAGTCTAATTCCAGACTTCCTTATGCAGCCTTCCAAAACATGCAGCCATGTTTTTGCTAATTCTATCCCACCTATGTTGCAGCAATTGCTGTCATATGCATTTTCCATTAGCATAAAACTTATTATCATGCAGTTTTCCTTTATATATGCTCACATTATGTGCATTAATTATTTCAGTAATTAAATAAATATTTGGGGTTCACATAAAAATTCACATATTTAAATTAAATGTGTACAAAATTAAAAGCATCCCAATACATATGAGTATATCAAGACACAAATAGCTTTTAAATATAACTATATCTATAAAGTTGATAGCATTAAAACACACATATTTGGAGGCATAATTAGCAATTTTAAAATAAGAACATTCCTACTTGCATTTTCTTACGTTTTTCTTCACACAATTTGTGGCCATTAAAAGAGATCTTTCTAATCAATACATGGAACATATTACCATTTATGGTGGACCTGTGAGGAGGCTAAAACTTTTTGGAAAAGGATCAAAAATTGGCTGGAGGCAATAACGGGGGTTAAAATAGAATGGAAAGCTGAAGTTTTTCTTAATTAGGAATAATATATGCGAAATACAAAAAAGAAACCCAATATTTAATACTACATATAATTACGGCGGCAAGGATTGCCTTTGCCCAAAAATGGAAAAATAAATTAACTCCAAGCGAAGATGAAATAATAAGAAAGGTTATGGATTGTGCTGAAATGGACAAACTAAAGAAATCCATGGAAAAGAAGAATCAGAATTCTACCAGATATGGGATAAATGGCATAGGTGGATGGAGGAAAGAAACAAGAATCAATGAAGGAATATAACAAAACTCAAAAATAATAGTTATGAGTATAATAAGAGGGTTAAGAATGGTGAAATCCAAATAAAATACAATAGAAGGGGAAATAATATAAGGTGAGCGGTATCGATTGATAATTGCTATTAGAAAGAACAGGAAGCTCCTGTTCGTATTGTATTGTGTAAATGTGGTGTACGTCTAAGTTTTGTGTTTGTGTGTGTGTGTATTTTACATGTTTGTTAATAAAAAAATAAGAATAAAAAATAAAAAAGAGATCCTTCTCGTAAACATAGTGATCACAAATTGAACCGTAGTAAGAATGTGATTTCTTTTTAATTTAAAAAAATCACAATAGAAGAGTACAGAGGTTTAACCAAAGAAAAATAGAAATTACAAAAAAAAAATCTAATTACTCACTTCAAACTGGGTGTGTTTGCCTGTTAGGCAGTTGCTATAGCCACAATTCTAGGAAGGATAGATTGCTGAACCAGAAACTGTCATGGGCTTGATTTAGGAATAACAGAGAAAATGCAAATCAAAGGGCAATTAATCAAAATACAGAGGTTTCCTTAGAACAGTGTTTCTCAATGCTGGCAACTTGAAGATGTGAAGAGTTCAACTCCCAGAATTTCCCAGTCAGCATTCTGGCTGAAGAATTCTGGAAGATAAAGTCCACACATCTTCAAATTGCCAGCATTGAGGAATACTGTTTTAGAGGAAAGCAAAGTGCAGTCAGCAAACAAGACAAGACTATTTGACAATAGAACAGGGACACAATTGGGGGTCCCCTTTCCAGTGTGTGTGGGAGTGAGCATTGGGCAACATATCCATTCCTGCCCTCCAAAGTTATTGCTTGTCTGAACTGATGACAAATTAACTTGGCAGTCTAGTCAAACCTTTAATTATTAATTTGTTTAGTTATGATTTATATTATCTCTAAAATTATTTGTTTCCTGCTCTTCATCTTAATGCATTAATTAATGAAAACAAATGAAATCTATACACTGGGTTGGAATAAGTTTTCCTCAGATTTAGTTGGTTTATTTAATTTCACTAGTCATTTAAAATATTTCAATTTTCTGGTTCCTAGATCACTGGACTAAAAAGGCAAAAAAACTAAATTACAGAGAGAGTGCATTGTATAGTGGAAGGGGGCATCTGTAGTGGAAGGGACCACCTAGACAGCTGAATCTGATCCCCTCCTTTGAGTTTATGGGAAGAATATGGGAAGAACTTTGCATAGCCCTATTATAAGCATAAAGATTTTACTTTCCTGGATAAGGTAATAAGGAAGGCAAAACACATTTCTTTCCCTCTAAAACTCACATTGGGTTATTTGTTTCTGTAGTTGAACCTGTTCAAATCTACAACAAGCTGTTAAAGGTAGATGCAGGAACAACTGACAAGTTTGAAGTGCCAACCTATCTGAAGAAGGGTATTAATATTTTCAAGAAATTGTAAAATAATAATAACAATAATGTCTCCTCCTTTCTTCATTTGTAGTTCGTTTATGGTGATAATCAATCACCCAACACAGTGATCACGCAAATGACTTTCCTGCGCTTACTCTCCAAAGAGGCCTCTCAGAATATCACCTATCATTGCAAAAACAGTATAGGTTACATGGATGACCAAGCTAAGAACCTGAAGAAGGCTGTTGTGCTGAAGGGAGCCAATGATCATGATATCCGAGCTGAAGGAAATAACCGTTTTAGATACACTGTCATTTCTGACACTTGCTCCGTAAGTCTTTTTAGCATGAATTAATCTTGGAACATAAACTGAATATTTAGAGTGTGTCTGTTGCTATTCAATTGTTTCTCTTGAGGAAAAAAATCATCATAGCTCTGAATTCCAAATTATAGCAGGAAAGAGAGCTGTGAACCACCAGAACTGATTTCTCTTTATAGTTGCAGCTATATCCTTGAGCAGATAGAAATGCCCTAGGTAGATAGCAATAGCAATAGCTCTTAGACTTATATACCGATTCACAGTGCTTTTACAACGCTCTCTAAGTGGTTTACAGAGTCAGTATATTGCCCCTAACAATCTGGGCCCTCATTTTACCCACCTCAGAAGGATGGAAGGCTAAGTCAACTTGAACCTGGTGAGATTTGATCTGCCAAATTGTAGTCAGCCGGCAGTCAGCAGAAGTAGGCTGCAGTACCGCATTCTAACCACTGTGCCACCACAGCTCTTATACCTAGATAGAGGTTGTCAGGGCCCAAAAAGAGAGGAAACATCTTGATTTATTATTGTGGTATCCAGAGAAAGGATTGTAGTACTATTCTAATGTACAGCCACAACTAACTGATACTTATCTACCTGTTAACCAAAGTGTAAGCAGGGTCACACAGCTACCAAATCACTGTATATACAAAGGGTCTGAATTGGAGTGATGCTTATTAATGAGCTCTTTAATAGAATGTAATAATTATCCTGCTCTGGTTTTCTTCTTGATGCTCAAGGAATCCAACAAATAATCTTGTTTTTTTTCTTTTTCTCTTTTGATTTGTTTTTCCAGAAACACAATGGGAATGTGGGCAGCACAATCTTCGAATACAAAACACAGAATGTGGCACGGTTACCTATCATTGATATTGCCCCAGTAGATGTTGGAGGTGCAGACCAAGAATTTGGAGTAGAGATTGGACCAGTTTGTTTTGTGTAAAAAAGTAAAGAAGCAAATAAGTAAATACTTAAATAAATAAATAAACGGGCTTATCTTTTCAAAAGCATTGGGGATGACAGCAGCAACAACAGAACACAAGAACTTAGACTGAGTGAAGTTAATCCTGAGACTCTTGAAATTACGGCTGATATTACAATCAGCATTGTATATAACAGTTCTTTCTGACTCCCTGGCCTTCTTTAGTGTATTTATTTTACTTACAAATCTTCAGTCTCACTGTCTAAGTCAACAATTTAATGAAGTAAATCCTATTTTAAAACGACAAGTGACCACACCTGTATCTAAAATAATTCAAAACTAAGCTTTGTTTCCTAATTAGAAAAGATAATCTTGATTTCTGGCGGTTCTGCTCAACTTTAAAAAGTGTAATTCATATAATAGAAGTATGCTGAACAGCAATAGGAAATAAGTAAAAGTTTCAGATGTTCACCATATCAAAATAACAAGCCCATCAATGCAACGCCATAGGGCACCTCCACAGACAGTCATGGCCCTGTGTTCAAAATGTGGTATCTGTATGAACCCATACTATTCTGTTTGTCAACTGAGCCACTTTATTTTCAGCTCAGCAGTTGTGAATTTCAAATCATAGTTGAAACAATTTCTCTTTTGATATACCAATGTTTTGAAGAGTGGCTTCCCTTTGATGCCATCACCCCAACTCTGAACTCATCCAGTCTTTTCCAATAGAGGTTCAGCCATTGTGATATCTTAACAAAATGTTATTAACTTACTTTAAAAATACAACAGAGGGACAATGCACAGCTCTTTCCCAAGAAATCCTTATGATATGAAGAAATACAGACAACATGAAATTCAGAAGTGTTGGGGGCATTGTTTGAATATCATATTTTTCTGCCTGATCAGATAGACAGTACAGAGACTGGCTCAGGAGTTGCTCATGGTTTTAAGACCAGGAATTGTGAGAAGGATCCATGGGTCAGCTTCAAATAGATTATTGGGAATTTAGAAAAGAAAATGGTGACAAAAATCCATAGATTGCAACAAAGTGATCTTAGTACTGATAAGTAGGCATAAGTTTGCCAGGCAGTAGATATTAGAAGACGGCTACATTCTAGAGGAAATTATCATTCATATAATTGAAGCCACTCCCTAAAAATGTGTTCTGCAATCAGTCATAGCAGATAATGAAAGTGAATCAGTCTTCCTCAACATGATGCATTCCAGGTGTGTTGGATGATAAATCATTTAATTCAGTAATCAGCATTGGTGATCATGGAAACTAAACATGTGGACAATAGGTTGGGAAAAAATTGCAAAAGATAATATTTATGTTTTTAATGTTTTAATTATATGGTTCCCAGAGCTCAGAGTATGTTATCTCACTCAATAAATTTATAATCCCCCAAAATTCCAAAACAAGTTTCAGAGTCAACACTTAAAGATTTTGTTTGTGGAGAGGATTAGTTGTTGACTTAATGAGCAGCAAACCCCTAGTGAACAATTTTTTTCTTGAACGTAATAAACTGTAGATTATTACATTTTGCATGTGGTCAAAGATGAAATTTCTAAATGACTTCAGGTAACATCAGAATTCCCCTAATGTAGCCTTTCTCTATCTGAGCATCTTCTAAGTAAGTTTGGTTTCACTCTGAGAATTTCCAAGCCAGCAGGGTCATTATTAAGAATTTTAATAGTTGGAGTGGACACAACACAGAGATTATGGAAGGCTGCTACAACTTCTTCAAGTGTATTGTCCAGTTATGTATGTTTGTCATTTATTCCCATGTATTAATCCCAAATCAGGTATTAACATAAATATTAGAGTTTTACTGTGGCTGAAAGAAATGTTTCCCTTAATTACTGGTCATGCATCATCAGAAATTGTGACATTGCATGTCTTGATTTATTAGGACAAACCAATGGTCCATCATTTCTTAGCATGAGCTACCTCATCTCTAGAAGCTGGGATGCATTTAATAATCTAGTGTTAATTCTAGATACAACAAGGTGCTATGCTTCTGTTATAATTCCAAGAATGGAGATACACAGGGCAATATAATAATGAAGTAATAATAATAATTATTAAAATGTTTTCTTTATGAAAAGGGAATGGTGCTAAAATGGTTTCTGTACAATCCTGGAAAAATAAATTTATTGTCATCAACCTTTTCTTTTTTTAATAGAATTTAAATACTATATTTTTGGTGTCTGGGAAAAATTCTTATACATTGCGTTTTTCCTCTTATGGTTTTATGATCTACAGAATGGGGTGTTCATCACCGTATTTTTCTTTCCATGGAGCATGTGGCTACAAGACTAGTTCTTCAGTTGGCTTCTTTGTTGAAGACCTATGTTCTCCTGTTTCTTGATTGTTTGTTTGTTTTTCTAAATAAACACATACACACATAACACAAGAAAAGCCATACGCATAGCTTTATTCATGTATCTTTGCAAAGCATTTAATTAAATACAAGTTTCATGTTGAGTAATGGCTTCCTTTGTGTAGAGTCCTTCTGACAATTTAATCTATTTCTAGGGAAAGACGACAGGATTCTGTGGTGTGTGTGTGTGGATTTGCATGATAGAGTGTGTGTTTGCTTTGTCATCTGTAAATTCAAAATGTAGCACCCAAAGCACTTAATAAATTAAATATTAAAGGGAATTTTGAGTGACAAGTGTTTGTAGTAGTGCTTAAAAAAATCAAGGCGACTTATCCAAAATGATTTCTATCGAACACATACATGGAAGTTTAGGATTTGTCAAATATGGCTTTGGAACTCTGAAATTTAAGATTTATCAATGTTGTTGAATAAAATATTGTGATAAAACCAGTGTCGCAGTCTAAATCACACCATTTCAGGGAAGCCACATGGAAGCCATATGGGCTTTTCCCAAACTAGACAACAATGCTTAAATTATGGTAGATTCCAAGGAAATGTTTGTTGATCCATGAGCAGTTCTAGTATGTCAGTTTAGATGCTAGAACAACTAGAATCAACCAGCAACAACTAGCTATGAACTGGTGTGGCACGACAAAACCGCGGCTCACTAAAGCACGCCCGATTAAAGCGCATCGCTGACGTCATCAGCAGCGCGACAACAGCGACTGCGGAGAAAAAAGCTTTAAAAAGCGCTTTGAAAGCAAGCCGATTCACGTTAAGGTAAGGGTTAGGGTTAGGTTAAGGGTTAGGGTTAGGTTAAGCGTTAGGGTTAGGTTTAGGGTTAGGTTAAGGGTTAGG